ACTTGTTTCTTTCCCATTTTAGAAACTGGACTCTTATGCTTTCTTCTCTTTGGAGTTTGGAGTCTGGACCTTGCTCCACGACCAGAAGGTTTGAGTACCGGTACTCCTCTTCTCTTTTTTTCCTGCGTGTTGCAAAGTTTTAAACGGATATGGCCCTCTACACTTAGCCAAGCGACCACCTTCTCCTACTTTTTGTTACAGTGTGGCCTGCCTGGCCCGAACAAGGATTGTGGTTTGACATACGGGGCTGTTATTGATAATCGGACAAAAGAATACAGTATTAAATTCAAGCTGATTAGTCAATGACATTAATTGGAACTGACCCTAATTTTCTCCCAGCAAAAGTTGCAGGTGATGGCCTTATGATGGGAAATAGGTAGCTATAGGGCTTGTCAAGCTTGTGGTTTGACGCCTATTATTTGAATCCCTGTACTGTTTACTCAAAGAAAGTATTGAAATGCATGATTTAATTGCTCCCCAATCATCCAAAGGTTTATCAGATAATTGATCTGCAATGTTTTTGGGAGTTAATCCAAGCTCAAAAAGCATGAACTAGTATGCTAAACTACCTTCTTTAGAAGGAAAACCAAAAAAAAAAAAACCTACTGATACGACCCATACTGCTAACAAGCCAAAACAACTGTCCAACACGAATGCTGTCCATCAACCCTTGTTGCTATAATCAGCAATTGCCAAGCATGCCTGCATATGTGAATAGAAATGAGCCCTTCACTTCTAGGTCGTGTTGAAAACTGTCAAGGACGGTCTGAGAAGAGCAGATAAAAGTTATTCAAACTTGTACTGGTACAGTAGCATCAAATTAAGAACCTGCTAACTGGTAAGGGTTCCGTGTTTGAATGTGAAAATATCCTGAAAAACATGGCTGATCTTTTGTTACTTATGGTTATGGTTTTACTAGCACTGTTTTACAACCCAAAGTAATAATAATAATAATAAAAAGAAGTACTAGAACAGAACAGTATCAAGATGACCATGCTTGTTCTAGAAAAATGCAGGCACAGAACAGCTTCCCTCGCTCACAAACTTTTGGCTAAGTGGAGACTGGAACTTGGGTGCTTCGGTAAATATATGTACGTAAGAAACTGTTGATTGAGTGATGGATTGCGGTACGAAGTTCTTTAGACCCACATGCACATGACCTTTGCAGCAACTTTTCAGTAGCTGGAGCCTGGCTTCTTTCGAAGAGTCCGTAGAGGGTTCAGATATTTGCACGACTCATCTACCTGTTTGAATGAAAAGGAAGGGGAAGCGAGGTGCTTTTCTATTGTCTAGTTCTTATCATCATACCCTGGGTCAGGATTGAGAATTTTGTGATATGAAATAAGCAGAACCCTTTCTGGGTTTTTGTCATATTTTAAGCTAATGGGATGGAACATCTCAACAACACCATGTTTGAAGAATTCCTCAACGTTCTGAAATGGAAAATTCGAATTATCAGCTCATTTCTGGTTCTTTCTCTCTCTTTTTTTGGACAACTGGTAGTATTTTATTATCCAAATAAGCAGGAGAAACCTACTACAAATGAACAAGCTGCCTCTTTCTCTCCACTCTTGGACTAACAGGCCAAAAAACCAAACCAGATTGACTTCACTTATCTTGCAAATAAATGTACCATGAAATTATTGATGCACGCTGCATAAGCATGAACGCAAGAGCAAATTCCAAGTATATGGAAACTTTATCGAAAGGAACATGATTGACAAGTCCCACTTATTTCCAGGACCAAAGCTTCCCCGATAACCCTTCTAGTGCATTGCAAGCAAAATTGATATTCATTGTATGTTTATTGATCTTTTGCTTCTGGAAGTAAAACCCTTGAAATGCAAGTTCCTGAAACTCGAATCCACGGCTGTGAGAAGCTCCCCTTCTCAAAAGCGAAGAGGAATATGTACCTGAGTCACTGGATTGAGCCCATGGCGATGCCAATATTTATTGCCTATGCCAATATTTATTACTATGCTTACATGTAGCAATCTTGTCCTGGAAAGTGTTGGGCCAAAATTCACGGTATGGGACACTGGGATCAGAGCCGAAGGGCTTATTATTCTGCTGTCCGTGGGCTGATCCATTGACCATGGAATAAGACAACACAAACCTCTGTCTGACCTCGGAGTTCAATGGAACTCAAAGAAGCCCACCAATAGACCTGTCAAAATGGACCGAGTTCATAGGATAGGATCGGTTCATTTTTTATTAAATATGAGGTGAGTTGGGTTGAAAATTTTTGACTCATATTTGAACCGGGCTTAAATGGACCAGCCCATCAAATCAGTGGGCTGATGTGGGCTGGGGCAGGGCCAGCCCATGGGTCAAAAAAT